ATATATATATATATATATATATATAATTAAATGTAATTTTATATAGAGAAACAAAAAGGGAAAAACAACCGCAGCCACCAAATATCCGACATAAATATATACATTGTCTTGTCGGGGTTAAAAATTTTTATGTTTGACTAGAAATATTAGGACATACATAATAGGTTAAAGACGCCTTTTTTTGCCAATTAAAACAATTGTTTTTATTTTCTCTACATTTATAATATCTTAATACAGGTTGTCTGTGAAGAGGATATGGTCTTTGTTGTATTTCCCAAATACTTGTACTATTGTTATTGTTACATATATTATTCGTAATGTCGATATCTCGAAATACAATGACCAACGAATCTTGTATGGGTGTTTATTGTTATACCTTCGGAGGCCGGCGTGGTCTATTGATTAGCTCGCTCGGACTGTGAATCCGGAGGTTCGTGTCATGTTTTCAAGCACCTTGGAGCCGTGAGTGACATATAAGAGTGACGGCCAGATTTGGTACTTTTCCGTTATAACCCCCGCAAATGGTGTTTATTATATGGATACATTACTTACTAATATATTTTTAGAAATTTATTACAGACGTTTACTATATGAATTAAATGTATATTTTCATATATTTATCCATATATAAATATATTAACTAATTAAAATTTGCGGGAGTATAACGGAAAAGTACCTCAAATTTCACTATTCAGTCAGGTAAGAGTAGCCCAATACTTAGCGGTGAGTGCTGTGGACTCTCTAATACAGTGCTTCCCAAACGAGTGTGCCGCGGAATTTTTGCAATTATTGAGTAATTTTTATTTAATAATGTATCATCAACTTAATTTTTTTTTCAAATTTGATTTATTTTCTCCTTAATACACGGTATAATAGTAATTGCTGCCTGTTTTAGTTGTGGTGGGGGTGCCACTAGGCCTGCCATACGGACTTATTTACATGTGCCACAAAAAGTTTGGGACGTCATAAGTGTGCCGCGATCTGAAAAAGTTCAGGAAGCACTGCTCTGGTATCTAGAATAACTATACCCAAGGGGATAGACTTGGAGAAGTCATTGTCAATTTAAGAGTTAGTTTGTTTGTTTGTTTGAAGTTAAGCACAAAGTTACACATGGGCTAGCTGTGCTGTGCCCACCACGGGTATCGAAACCCGGTTTCTAGCGTTATAAATCCGCAGACACCGCTGTGCCACTGGGGGGTTTAAGATTAGAGAATGGCTATTCTGTAGCTTTGCGTCAAAATTCTAAAACAAAACGAACATAATTATTATAGAGCTTTCTAAATTCTCTATCGATTTGTAAATGTGAATATTATCATGGGTGAACCGAAATCGATGTAAGAAACCTCTTTCAGAGTCAAGTTCACCCAAATAAATCAGAGTTACTCGAGCAAAACCACAATAATCATGAAATTGTGAAACGCTCCTTAGAATATTATAATATTTTATTGAAAAGTTTTGACAACATGAAAAATTGAAAGGTAAACAATGGAAAAATAAGCTATTAAGCAACTGAAACTGGTGAAATCAATGACGGTATTATTATTGAGTTTGAACATTATAATTGTTTTTGTCAGACATGTTTTTTTTTGGGGGGGGGTGAAATCGTCAAAATATCGAAATATAATAATTGTTATAACAAACCAACAAACAAGGGTGATTTTTAAAATTATTGAGTTGTATATAATTCACCAAACTTTTAAGTTTTCACTTGTTTAATTTCGGCTATATGCTGTGTTCATCGCGGGAAAACAAACTCAGCGTTGTAAGTCCATAAACTTACCGATATAACATCGGAGAACTCACTTGAATACATGATATTGCTTTGTATACCATATTATCTTTCATGCGATATAAACTTTTAAACTAGAGTAGTTAAACTAAACATGTGCAAAGTACACATTTTTAACTTTCTTAACACTATTGCTGTTTCAAAACATATAACCAGATTGTTTGGTTGCACATTTTCACTGACAATGTTCGCATTCACTAACTGAAAGAGGTCAATCACTAGATGAATGAAAATGTATCATGTTCAAGGTTTTCATTAAAATTTGTAGCAAATACTAATAAAACATGGTGCTAGAATGGAAATGTGCTTAGAACGAGCAGGTAATCGTGTGTGTAAAGAGCTATTCGTTCTTTTGTTAAAGATATTATGCGTTTCTCACCTTTGTATTGTGCCATTATTGCTATTGGATATACTATTGTGTTTGTCGTTATTTTTTCAGTTAACATTGTTCGATTATGACGCCAGTTACTTGTATTTGGACCACTATATATTTGGTTCTTAGTAGCTTGGCTGTCAGTTACTTTCTTGCAAACCAAAATATTTTTAAAAATTCGACCACAGTATCACTTAACCAAACGAAAGTGAAATAAAACAAAGCTAAATCATGATGTGTCAGCATGAATTTATAATGCGTGTTTTTGTGTCTTTTCGGTAAACCTGTGTTTAGTGATTTTGAAACACTATTATGGGTGATATGTATAATACTATAGAACTGCTTGATTTAAGAAGTGTTGGTACCTTAATGTTTCATACTCGTTCGTTTCTGTTTTCTTAGTGAACGTATGCTGTAGCTGTGTGGAGTCATATGGAACAGGAAAAATATGTCCATCGCCTGCGAAACATTTGTTCAGAATGCTTGGAAGAAAGATTTGTGTTCTAACTGTTTCAAGAGCGTGTCTGATCACTGTTTAGATCAACAGAACTATTCAGAAAACAAAAACACTAGTTATATGTCAAATTCATGTCTTGCCTACCAATCATCTAGCAGTTCTTATATAAAAGATCGAATACTCGTCGAGACGTCTAAAAATTCTCAAAATCAAAACATCGCGCAACTCAAATTAAAAACATTCGGCCCTGGTGTGAGAAACACTCAAAATGAGTTGCACAAAGAAATATCTCATCAATTTACTAATAACGAGGTAGTTGTTAAAAAAGGTGAAAATCTTGAAGCTTCCTCTTCTTTCTTAAGAATATTAAAGGATCAGAAGAAGAGAGAAACAAAGAAGACTGCGGTTTCCTTTGCAGAAGGACCGATTGAAATTATTGGTTACGGAGGAAATGAATTTGACTCTGATGATGAGTGGGATCTCGAATCGTGTGTCAGTGATATTGACTTGGAAAGTTTGGATGTAACTGAAGAGGATAAACTTACTACTAAACTGACAAAAGAAAACACAGAATTTAATTCAACTCAAAGAAACCTTTTGAACAATAACAGCTCCCAGCAAGAACCTCTCTCTTTCAAACAAGAATCGTTGAGGGGCACTTTTCATTATCAAGATAACACCGAAACCAAACAGAATAAAACTGAAAAATGCTCCTTATTGAACTCTAATTCAAATGCATACCAAAATCAACATGTTGAAAAATTCCAAAGGTCATCACTTGATTCGCATTCACAACGAAGACGAGATCCACTTCCTAGGGCTTCGGTTAAGCCTTTTATAAAACAGGCATCTTGGTCTAGTGGGCACGAAATTAAGTCAACAGAGCAGTTTAATAAAATAGAAATTACATTTACCACCTCAGATGATAAATCAATAGAGAAATCAGTGACTGGTATTTCCAATAAAAACAACGACCCCCTTTATAGAAACGACCAGCTGCTTGAAACTAGAAGTAACGAATTACCACACGCATCAGATAATGTTTTAGAATCACTACCAACTCACGGTAACTTTCATGAACTTTCCAGTTTTGATTTGGAGCAACCACAGTCGTTACCAACTATTAGCCATAAAGAATACCCTTCCCAGTATTATAACCAAACATCGTTTTCTCTCGAGAGTGTAAAATCTCTAAAGACCGACTTTTCATCGTTTAATTTTCCCTCTACTGAAGCTGTTATGATCGAAAGAAGTGACAATAGGTCATTTAATTTTCCACAGAGTGAAGACCAAATTGGTCTTAAAGAAGTTCCTCGTGTGTCTTTTCTTCACGGTATCGGAAAAAAACTGTCAAAGGATTTATTTTCAGATAAAATATCTGAAGATAAGAAAAGTGACACTGAGTGCCCCGAGAGTGGTCAACAATGTGTTAAAGGCACACTGTCAGCTGTTACAGATACATCACCTCGTGTTTATTCAAATGTGGATAAACATAGCAACACTTGCAGAGAAATCTTATCTTCAGTTTCCAAGGTGAAGAATACTTGTTGGGGAAAAAATAAATCTATCGAAAGCGCAAAGACGACCACATCGACCGCTCAGGACGTTAGTATCCGAGTACAAGAAAATATGCACAATGTTGTTTCTAATACGTCGGATTTTAACAACAGCGATTCTCGTTTTTTAGACAGCTCCTCTAATCTAGATTCTGGTCACAAAAATGAACGCAAAGAAAAGCTTGCTGCTTTAGCCGTTGAACTCGAAAAAGTTCGCAGTGAACATATTACCAAAAGAAAAGCACCGCCACCACCAAAGACACCGGAAATTTGTTTTGATTCCGAAATTACAACTACTCGGGAATCGAACATTAAACAAGAAGTCGAAATATGCACACAGATACCTGACTACAGAAATAATTCTAGTCCCCTTTCTTGCGTAAAAAGAGAGGGTAATTACTCGGACACTAGAAAATTGAATTCAAAAGAATTCATCAACAGTCAAGCTTTGTCCAAACCTATCGGTAATCAATGGCAACGAAGGAATTCAACGGGATCAGAAGATAGCACGTGCACCAAAATGAAAAAAAGTAAGTTTTCGCTAAAGAGGTTCATTAAAAGAGCGAATGATTCGAAATTAATAAAAGTAACACCTACCAAAAATGTCATATTATCATCTCAGGTCAAAACGTTAAAAGAGGAATATAATTTTGACAATAATTTAACGCACCCATCTTACAAACTGTCCAAAAACAACCAGATTACTTCAAACTCGGTTTGTGATTCTTCTGGCGCTTGGGAGAAGAAAAATCAAAGTCCATCTCAAACTATTGTGAATAAGAAGCAAGAAGACAATCAGCAGAAGGACGTGTTGATTAATCAACGTGACACTCGGATGGAGAAAGAATATAATAAGCACGATGGAGTTACAAACATGGTAAGCTTATTATTTCATGTGTTGTTTGTGTGATTTCTCGATTGTGTCTCAGAAACTGGAACTTCTGAAATCGATTGAAAGCAATGTGGAATTCAAAGTGTGTACATTTGTGGTAGTATTACTTTCGAACAACATATATTCAATTCTTGCTATTTTTTAGTTTGATTTTGAGAGTCAAGAGTAACATCAAAATTTCAGACAGGTTATTGTTAATGTGGAAGAATCGTTTTTTTTTCTTAATATGTAACAAAACTCCCCGATGAGTACTACAAGTAAAAGATTATATGCATAATATAATGATGATGATAGTAGTTGTTTTTAGCACATTTACTTAAACTTGAGCTCTAAACACATCAACTGAAGTTTTTCTTTTCTTCCGAGCAGAGTTCTATAAAATTAGACTAAGTTTATATAGTGTAAAACTATCCGTCACAGTGTGCGAACGCAAGATAAAATCTGAAACTTAACCCTTTGGAGCTCTTCCCTTATGGTACCTAATTTACTCCTCTTTGTATTAGATATAATCTGTTATCGAAGCTCTTTGGTTATTCAAATATCACTTGTATACTTTTCCACTGAAAGCCAAGAACAACAAACGAAACCAAATCCTGATTCTACTTGCACCGAGTATACTATGAACGCCTGGCACGTGGGAAAGGGGATCTCCCCGCTTTGTAACAAATACTCTAACGTGACTCAATAAATAAACATTTATAGCACACACGTACATGAAGGACCTGCCAGCACATGTCACTTCTACGTTAAACCAATGATAGTACTTAACCCTGAACTCACGTGAACCTTTATGTTGTATTAATCCACATCGTGTTTTGTGAATTTGTTTACCAGCGAACTATTTCCATAGTTCTGAAGTTATCACGACCAAATTTAATAAGCGGACTTGGGGTGTCCTTCTTTTTATGACGTAGCCCCCTACCAAGGGTATAGCAAATGGGGGGGGGGGGGCTAAACGAGCCCGAAAGGTCACCTAAGCACAATAAGTGGCTAGGGTTGGGTTTTCAGGATCGCTGAACTCAAATCTAGCATTTAATTTTTTGTTCCTTGCACCCTTAGAGTTCCCGGGGGTGCCATGTTTGAAACTGTGTTCAAACTCACTCTCACAAGCTAGCGGGACCAGACTTGCTCAGTTACTTACCACGGGTGCCTTAACGGTGTTTGTTTATGGGTATGGACCTCACTTGCGGTAGCTATGGAAGCAATTGGAGATAATGGAGAGCTTGATCGGTACAGTGGGGATTTTGTGAATCATGAGGGGGGGCTTTAGAACCCTCAACAGAGCGCGGGTAATTTATACTAGATCTATATAAATACCACTAAAATCGCAATAAAATCATGGACGTAATGTTGCATGTAAACGACGGTGTGTCTTTCATTCCACTCGATTAACCCTAAATATATTCTTATTAGAATTCCATCTATAGTTATCTAATATTCATAGTTCGAAAAGTGAGCTCACAACACCGAATAATATACATCCATTAATAAAAGCTCATTTCTATTCCAGTCGGTCTGGCATGGCCTGGTGGTTGGATGTTCAACTCGCAGTCCCCGGGTCTATCAAAGAAAGAGCACTTGAAAATTATGACTTATGTTTTCAAGATAAAAGAGTAATACCTAGAAATTGAATGCGTGAAATAATTTAAATATGAATGTCATTGTTTTAAAGGTTTTTTCGAATAGTTAGAGAGGAAGTTTTGTAGCCAAAAGTTACAGCACACATATTTAAATATTGATTACAGTTTGCAGCATCCGAAATTATAATACAAGGACCCCTAAAATTTAACTGACGTAAATTGACTCTGACTGAGCGTTATCTTGATATTTCTAGAGCATCAAACTTCATACTCTTATTTGTCATATTTAAATCTAAGAATTGATGACGTGAATAATAGTTTTAGGAAAATGGTTAAAATGGCAGAAAACGAAAAAAAGTTAAATTTGCCTAAAACGACATTTTGATGTAAAAATAAAGGTGCATAAATCGTTGTAATAGATAAAGAATTGGATATTTTGTGACAACATTCTTGCCTGGTTTGAAAGAAAGGAAACTTTTGTGGAACTAACAACAGAGAAAAGGCGAATAAAGAAATTTTTAATTCCGTTTTCACCAACTTACAAAATGAACGAAAAAAACAACAACAACTATATCTCTATATTATTGTATGGGGTATCGTTAATATATTAACGTTCCTAACATTTGTTATCAAAAAGTATAATTTCAAAAATGTTGTCCGGTCGGTTGCGGTACCAGTTTCAAACCGCCTAGCGGGCAGATGAAGAATTATCAGGGAGCCATTTTGTCTGTAAATAAATCCACCAGAGGGATGTGAAACATAACATAGTTAATGCTGATTTTTTCTTATTTGATTAGTATTTTAGATGCTATTAGCAAACTACTACACGACTTTGGTTGTCATTTATCCTATAAACTACAGCGTTAGATGTTCAGTTAAAGCGAAGCCTGATGATGAGTCATTTTCTGATCGATATCTTCCTGTAAAAACCATTCGAATCGCTACCCATTAACGCGTTATGTTTAAAATTATCTCTCCTGACGCTAGAGCCTTATGAAACTATAAATGAAGGGGGAGTCTGACGGTCTCATATATATTTAAACATGAAAATTCAGAGTGTAGTTAATTAGCAGTTTATCGACATTATATTCATAGATTCTGATATTTTATTTTACTTACAAATAAGTCAGAGAACCATTATGGAGACAAATTTCATAATTAATCATCTTATGTAGAAGAAAAAAATATAGGATCCTTTCTGAGAATGTTACACAACTGGGTAAATTTTGCATAATAAATAATTATTTTACTCATGATATTTAAAATCTCGCAGGATCAACAGAAAATGTTAGTATCCGAAAAGAAACCCAATAACCCAGCCGCTTTTAGAAAGTGGTAAATGAAGATGATGGGTGGATGGATTATGGTTTGAAATTTCACATGTAGCTGTGCAGCTAATTTTAACGTCATTATTTACGATTGGAAAAGGTTTATTGTTGATTTTCGCGCAAAGCTACGCGAGGGCTATCTGCACCTGCCATCCCTAATTTTGAGCAAAGCTACGCGAGGGCTATCTGCACTAGCCATTTTGAGGTGATAAACTACAGGGAAAGCAGCTGGTCAACACTACCCATCGCCAACTCTTGGGCTACACCTCTTTATCAACGAGTAGTAGGATTGACCATCACGTTATAACGCCCCAACGGCTGAAAGGACGAGCATGTTCGGTAAGCGGGTTCAAAATTACAACCCTGAGATTGCGAGTCGAACAACCTAACGCTATACCAGGCCCCCCAGACATAAACCAGCAACGTAAGCGAACTCGCTTGGTTAATAGGGATGTCAGAATCAGATGCGTGAATTTTCAAACCGTGATTAAAACAATTTCTGCGACTAAAGAATGTTTTTATTATTCAGTTTCGCTTTAACCGTTTAAGTAGTAAAAAATAGTATTTCTGTCTCTCATTACTTGACAACTTATATGTTTGTTGTTTTTTCTTGCTACCCGTGAAGAATTCTTAGTGTGCGTATATATTTTTTCTTGTTTCTGCGTAAACTCGTTTAAAGAGAATTGCATGTATTGAATTAACTTAATGGTTCATGAAGCTCAAGCTGTGCACTTTAGATAACGACATCAACCTCTGCGTTGGCTCGTGAAGTTTACGTTTTAGTGATGTACACTTAATTCGATTTTTTAAAGTAAAGCAAATTTACCTTTAAGATTTTCTCTTTGTTATTATGCGAACAGCATTATACATTAAGGCATTTGCTAATTATTTGGTGTGTATTATCCTAATGTTGAATGTAAATAGACTAAAATTAAGTTAGTTCACTTTGTTTGCAAAACACACACACATTAATACCACATAAAAGATAACCTGGCTCAAAATTTGTTTGAGGATGGAATAATTACTGAGGTAAAACATTAGTAAATAAACCTCCAGCAAGTACACAAGAAATTAGTACACAGGTGTCTGACCACCACGTTAACATTTCTATGGGTGATATGGAATACTTGGTCTGCAAAGTGTGTTTACACTCAAGTTTTAACATGAATTATGTGAAGAAAAGAAACGCTTGTAACACTATTGTAATGTAAACGATTACGCAACATCTTTTCAATCTTAAACGTCACATAGGAACTTCGTAGTATGAGCGCGATATTAGAAATTCCACATTGAAGTTTCGAAAGTGCAACGTAATAATTATGTGTAAATTGCTTAACGTTAGGTGTTGCAGAGGTTCGAAGAAAGTGAAGCCACCTTCTCTTCGCTGCCTTTCATACCGTACTCCAATACGACATCGTTGACACCTCCCACACCTGAAGAAAATGTAGAAGAGTTAGCTACAACGCGGCCACCAAGACCTCCTCGCCCCTTCATTATTCCAAGAAAGACGACCAACAGTACTGGCCAGCTAATGCCTACTAAGCCCCCACCTCCAGCAGTTAAGGTAATGTGATACTGAAGAGTGAAATATGCAAAATAAAAATGGCCAACAAAAGTGTAATTCTGCTATTTCCTGTTAAACGTATAGTCGAAGCTCTAGTATTATGTTGTAGTTTTATTTGTGTATACACTAACATTTAAACTATCATATACTTAGTGTCAGCATCAATATTATTGATACGAGTTAGCTATTTACAGCCATTTGAACAATTAATGGCGTTATCAGAATCTCGTCTTTACGATTCAGCTCGTTCTTCAAAGAATATTCGATGCTACAAGTCACTGTTTTAGTGTAAAACTGCACAATGTGTAACTTTGTGGTTAACAACAAACAAGGAAGAAACTTAATTAAGTTGTTGTAAATGTATTTTGACCTAGTAAGTTGTCGTTTCTTGGAAATCCAACGTAGCATGTCTTTTATTGGTTTTTTGATTGAAGTTGGATTTTGTATGTGCTTATGATTTCCTCAAAATTTGGCAAGCCTAATGACTCAACAAATGAGTAATCAAAACCCGTTTATATCATTCAAACGTGACCGATGATAAGCCAGTAAGTCTGAGTAAGACATAGAATTATACCAAAAAGGAAATATTTCAACTAAAAATCATAGTATATTTTTACTTCATTTCCATTGTGGAAGAAATCCACAGATTTCCGGAATAAAAAAGGCGAAATAACTTTCTTTGAGTGGTAAACATCCTCGTGAATATTGGCATGCTCTTAAGACACTGCTAGTTTCAAGTACAGTTATCCTTAATTTCGAACTGCTGACACGAGAAGTGATTACTAAGTTAAATATAGGCAGTTGAAAATGAAGCCAACAGGTGGCAAGGTAATATAGGACTAACAATAATGAGTATTAAAGTAACATTAAAATGTAAATCGGTAAATTATATATATTTACAGCACCACCACCAATGGAAAACAAAAATGATTTTCTGCAAAAATATGAAGCCATCTATTAAAAATTCTTAGTCCTGGGTCTTAAGACAAGATTTGAAACGTTTAAATATCCTGAAGTAGGGTAATCATCCTTCCAGTATATTTCAATGCAGTACTGTCAATATGACGAAGATCTTCATGATTCTGATGTATAATGTAATTCGCTTTAGCCACAATGATGGTAAGAGACCTCGGTTCTAGCTAATAAGCGCTGTCATTAACGTTACTTAAGTACCTGGATAATCGTTATAATATCCTAATATGAAGTAGAAAAATATTTTTAAGCCTGAATTCGAAGAAAATTTAAAGATGTGAAAAATAAAATATAGCCTTTTCATTAATATAATGTCATTTATCTTTTAGACCAGGGAAAAGGCATCTAAAGGGAATTCAACAGTTAAGTCAAATCAAGATAAACCACAACCATCTCTTAGACACAGTCAATCTAGCGTGCAATCTGACTATGCTAATCTTGGTAAGTTAATTTATCTTGCCAAAAGCAAAGGAAACGAAAAGGTTGCGCCAACATACGTACAATGTGTTCGTTCCAACGCTTTTATACCTAGCCGATGAAATCATGTTTTAGTGACCTTAAGCACCTTTAGTGATCGATGTGTTTATTATATTCTCGTGAAAGAAAACATAAGTGATGGGTACTAAATCAATTGCCCCCCAGTGGCACAGCGGTACGTCTGCGGACTTACAACGCTGGAAACCGGGTTTCGATACCCGTGGTGGGCAGAGCACAGATAGCCCGTTGTGTAGCTTTGTGCTTAATTCCAAATAAACAAATAAATAAATAAACTAAATCAATTACTTCATACCTTGGAAAGAAAATATTAATAATTTAGTGTCACGGGGGGGGGGGGACCGTCATATATTACAAGATTAAAATTTCACCAATTCACAATAATATCGAAACGAATTGATTTCTCAAATAATGATAATAGAATATTCCAAGCTCGAACGAAGGTTATGAAGATGGAGTCAGGAACACGTTGGATAGAACGTAATTTGGTCTGTCAGTTTTCTAGATTTGACTTACTAACTTCACGTGAGCCTTTGTTGTAAGGTGGTGATGTACCTGTCAATAGACTTAAAGGTGCTTAGGGGCGTTACACAAGAAAAATTATCCTCATCTTTACGTGAAAACCAACGAGGTTGTGAATTTCAAATAGTTAGTGAAATTAAGTAGATTGGATTATAACCACTTAGGCAAATGTATGTGTAATTGTTTCAAAGTGATCTGTTACATTTCATTATTATTTTAATTACAACATCAGTCATTTCAGTCTACACATTTCTCATTAAATTATTTAATACCGTTTACCTTGTATGATTATGATACGTGTTTATATATCAATTTCGACAATACTTTCACGTCTCCATTTTTCAGAATATATTTACACATACAATGAAGACACGGAATGATAACTCCCACATATCTCGGGTGGCGTTAATAAGTTATTTTTAGAGTTAAGAGATTTTTTGTTTTTCAGCCAAAGCTACACAAAAGGTTATCTTAACTCTGTCCACCACGAGGAATAAGAGCACGTATTTTAGCGTTGTTAGTTCGTAAACTTACCACTGACTCACTTGGGAACGAGTTGAAAGAGAGAGAGAGAACAACATTACATTTTTGTGCTCTATTTCTGGATTAGAAAAAAAAAGTATATTTTAATATCTTTTAGTAATTATTTCGATTATAAAAATGATCCAAGCCCTAGCTAAGTATTCATGTTTTTACAGTGGAAGGTATTTCTGCTTGCAGTAGGAAAACTGTAATTTGCTGATTCAATATTACAGTGAGATGGCGAACGTTTTTTTTTTTTTCGAACGTATTCGTCTTGACACACTGACAGGACTTCTAGTTAAACTCTGACAACAGATCATGTTCCGTAAAATACGAGTACAATTGTTTTTGTAACGAAGCATGAAATATTTGATATAGCAGTTTTCAACAGTAAAATGAACATTGTAACAAGTGTGAAAAAAAAATGTAAATACCTTATTTATATGGTTTTTATTCACTATTAACCGAAATCTACGTAAAATTAAATTATGAATGCCCTACAAATTTAAAAGGTTACATGCATCTTTATATTCATTTTTAAAACTTAATTCAGGCATTATTTTATATTAAGATATTTTACTGTGAGAATGTTGCGTGTAATGATTTATATCTTCAAAAGTTCGGATTTTAACTATGTGTTTTAACTATCTTAAGGTGATGTTAGGTCAAACTTGGCGCCCAAAAAGCCGGAAAGAACTTCCATATTTACAAATATGCAAAATACTGAAGAAAATGTCGAGTGTCAACAATTAGTAAGTTGCTTAAAAATCCTTTATTTCTTTCTACTTATTTGTATTTCGAAATTTTTAACTATTATATATGATTTTATTCATACTGTTACGTATCTGCTTGTTTGTTAATTTCCGGTATAAATTCATTCCGAGGAACTTCAGCGATACAAGTCCCTTCTTGATTAAAAATAGTTTATTCTTTCTCGATACAAACTT